AGAATCTGCATTTTTAACATTTTTAACAAGATCTCCAGGTGATTCACCTCCTGTGAATTGGTAGTGAGAGCTAGAGTTTTGATCTGGTTTAGGTTCACTATTTTGGGGGGCAAGGCTGCTTTGTAGGTGGTGTTGCATCCTTGATTACTTCTCAACCCAGCATGCCTGCTCCTCGTCTGCCAGGACTTGTGCCTCCTTGTCACTCAGGCCTCTGAAAATGCAGGCACGACCAAGGATCTGCCCTCTGCCAGCCTCCACTCTCTCCCTCCTGAGCCCCAGTGAGCTCACTTACCCCAGAGCTCTCAGGTATCACTTTTTTTTTTTTTTTTTCTTTCGGTACGCGGGCCTCTCACTGCTGTGGCCTCTCCCGTTGCAGAGCACAGGCTCCGGACGCACAGGCCCAGCGGCCATGGCTCACGGGCCCAGCCGCTCTGCGGCATGTGGGATCCTCCCGGACCGGGGCACGAACCTGTGTCCCCTGCATCGGCAGGCGGACTCTCAACCACTGCGCCACCAGGGAAGCCCTCAGGTATCACTTTTATAATCATGATCCACAAGTCTTTCTCTCTAATCCTGACCTGTCCTTGGTCTCCTGATTTGCCTTTCCAGTTGCTGAAAGAATATATCTTCCCAGATGTTCAGCCTGCCCTTTAATTCAACACATTGAAGCCTAAACCATTATTTTCCCTCTTATCTTCCCTTTTGGGTTAGTAAGCTAGCCATCTTCTGATCACTCAGCCTACACTGTTTGAAGTTCTCTTGTATTTTCCACCCACTCTTTCATGTCCTGCCTCTAATCGGTAGTTAAGTTTTATTAATTCTCCTTCTGTATTTGTCAGGCTTCATTAGGTTATTCTGAGGCAAGAAACAATTTCCCTCAATTTCAGTGGTTGACAGCACAAAGTTATATTTTTTGCTCAAGTTACGAGTTGGCCGTGAGTCGACTTCAGCTCTGTTCTGCTGTAGGTGTCTTCTTTCTGGGATCCGGGCTGAAGAAGCAGTCCCAATATGGGGTATGGCAAAGGGAAATGAGGAATGGCAGGACTATGAATCAGTTTCAAAGCCTCTGCTCAGTCGTGGACAAATCAGTTCCATGCACATTTCATTTTCCATAGCCAATGACAAAGTCAAGTCCCATATCCGTGGGTTGGGAAAGTGCATCAAGTATCTCAAATCCATAGTGCAATCTATCACAACTCCTATTTTATATCTCCGTCACATTCCTTATTCAATTCCTTTACCCCTGCCTCAAACTTCACTTTTCTCAGCTTAGAATTCACTTCCTCGGGGAAGCCTTTTCCCCGACATCCTCAGACAAGATCACATCCACTGCTCTCTGTTGTCACGGGACTTGCACTTTTTCACAGCATGTGGCACAACTGTGATGAGTTATTTATGCAATATTTAATCTCTGACTTTCCCCCTAGACTGCAAGTTCTGTGAGGGCAGAGACAGCATCTGCTTTGCTTACGATGTTATCCTTGGCACCTAGAAAACTGTCTAGAGCCCATCACATATTCAGTAATTATGTAAAAGATGCAAAAGAATGAATGCATATCTTAGTCATGCCCATATCATCCCGCACCTGGATTACTGAGAAACATTATCAGTAGTTTTTTTTGTTTTGTTTTGTTTTGTTTTGTTTGTTTGTTTTTGTGGTACTGTGGGTCTCTCACTGTTGTGGCCTCTCCCGTTGCGCAGCACAGGCTCCGGACACGCAGGCTCAGTGGCCATGGCTCACGGGCCCAGCCACTCCGCGGCATGTGGGATCCTCCCGGACCGGGGCACGAACCCGTGTCCCCTGCATCGGCAGGTGGGCTGTCAACCACTGCGCCACCAGGGAAGCCTATCAGTAGTTTCTGACGTCTATTTTATTCTTCAGCCATCAAGGTTTCCTTCCTAAAGACCTACTCTTTTCACATCATTAGTCGTTTCATTCAGCTTCTTCTTCTGCCACGTTTCCAGCTGAAACATAGTATTGAAGTTCCCTGAATTATTACACTTTCTCAGACCTCCATCCTTCTGCACATACTATTCGTTCTAAAGAATTCACCCCCACCCCGCTCGGTGCTCTGCCTGGTAAAATCCTATTCACCTTGTACATCTCAGTCTGGAGGCTGTCTCCCCTGATGAGCCCCCCCTTGGCTCTCAGTGCAGACTTGGGCCCCCTACCGCTCTGCTTCCCCGTTCTGTGTCTGCACCTCCGTTTCAGCAATTGTCGTGTTGTATTCTAATGGTTTGTGTGCTTCTACTAGACTAAGCTCAACCAGGGCAAGAACGATATTTTTGTCTCCTGTTACCCAGCACTTAATATAGAGCCTGGCACAAAGCAGGTGCTCCAAATTGCTGCTACGCTGTTGCAAGCTACAGTTATTGAACAAAGGAACAGCTTCTCTATCCAAAAGCAGAGGTCAAAACACATGTTAACAACTTCCATGCACTTCAGGCATGGGCAACGCCTCAGACCTCCTATCAGAATCAACATACACCCAGTCCTAACATTGTTTGTGGTTTTCCAGCACAGATTAGAGAAAGGAGAGAGGCACTTCTAAAGAGAGGCCTAGGGCTTCCCTGGTGGCGCAGTGGTTGAGAGTCCGCCTGCTGATGCAGGGGACACGGGTTTGTGCCCCGGTCCGGGAAGATCCCACATGCCGCAGAGCGGCTAGGACCGTGAGCTATGGCCACTGAGCCTGCGCGTCCGGAGCCTGTGTTCCACAACGGGAGAGGCCACAACAGTGAGAGGCCTGCGTACCGCAAAAAAACAAACAAACAAAAAAAACTAAAGAGAGGCCTAGTGACAACTGCAGAAAGTGGCCTCTGACGGCTGTCAGTAAACAACCAGAGAGCACCCACGGCAGCAAAGGTGGCTGCTTTCTTGGAGTGGGTGCACTAGTGTTTCCCTGGCAAGGTCCTGCTTCCTGCAGCCCTCCCCCATAATTCTGAGCCTGGAGACTTCTTAGATTAAAAAAATAAATAAATAATAATCCAGGGCTTCCCTGGTGGCGCAGTGGTTGAGAGTCCGCCTGCTGATGCAGGGGACACGGGTTCGAGCCCTGGTCTGGGAAGATCCCACATGCCGCGGAGCAACTAGGCCCGTGAGCCACAACTACTGAGCCTGCTCATCTGGAGCCTGTGCTCCGCAACAAGAGAGGCCGCGACAGCGAGAGGCCCGCGTACCGCGATGAAGAGTGGGCCCCGCTCGCCGCAACTAGTGAAAGCCCTCGCACAGAAACGAAGAGCCAACACAGCCAAAAATAAATAAATACAATGAAAAACAACCAACCAAAAAAAAAAAACTATTAAAAAAAAAAAATCCTTGGTGACTTTTTTTGTTTCCCTCCTAGCTGGAGAAGGGGGCCAGACTCCGGGCCCCAGTTTCCTGGTGACGAGCCTGATAAAAGGATGACTTCTTTCATTGGGCTCCTCTTTTCTTCTTCTTTTTCTTGGTAGCAGCAGCAGTCTTGGCTTGGATTTGGTTTTCCAGGAAAGCAAAGTGTATGGCCCAGAGTGAATTTTTGCTCCACCACACATTGGCTAAAATGGTGATTCTCATACATGAGAGTGGGTCAGAATCACCTGGAGGGCTTGTTAAGCCAGAGCTTGTTGGATTCCAACCTCAGAGTTTCTGATTCAATCGGTCTGGGGTATGGACCTAGAATTTTGCATTTCTAACAAGTTCCTAAGTGGTGTTGATGCTGCCAGTCTGGGGACCATACCTTGAGAGTTACTGGCCTAAACAATAAGCCTCAAGCATGACCAGTGATGAAAAACTCTGGCCAAACAGAAAATTTCATCTTTGATCATGCACTTCTTGCTTCATTTACACAAGCGTTTGCTTTTCTTTTGCTTTTCTTTTTTTTTTTTTGGTTTCTACTTGTGGGACCAGTTGAACTGGATATTTATTATCAGATATTTACTTAGACCAAAAAAAAAAAGTTATAACTTCTGTAAAAATAGAAGATGCTGGCATCCTGACTTCCCTGCAAGGGCAGTTCTCCAAAACTGCTCTCTCCTAGATCTCTATCACTGACCCATCTTTAGACCAAAAGCACCAGAAGCAAAGTCATCGTCAGAACTCAGCAGCACCTTGTTCTCTGCTGTCACCCCCCCATCCTTACCCCAACTCTCCCCAAGCTCTTTTTACTCCAGATATCAGATTTTGTATTAAACCATTAATGGTAGTTGCTAAGGCAACATACTCTTAATATAAGTCCATTTCAAAATTAACATCATGGGGCTCCCCTGGTGACGCAGGGGTTAAGAATCCGCCTGCCAGTGTAGGAGACATGGGTTCGAGCCCTGGTCTGGGAGGATTCCACATGCCGCAGAGCAACTAAGTCCGTGCATCACAACTACTGAGCCTGTGCTCTAGAGCCCGCGAGCCACAACTACTGAGCCTGTGCGCCACAACTACTGAAGCCCGCGTGCCTAGAGCCCGTGCTCCACAAGAGAAGCCACCGCAATGAGAAGCCTGCGCACCACAACGAAGAGTAGCCCCTGCTTGCTACAACTAGAGAAAGCCCACGCGCAGCAATGAAGACCCGACGCAGCCAAAAATAAATAAATTAAATAAATAAATTTATATAAAAAATTAACATCATGACCTATCATTAGGTAATTGACTAAGGTTATATTCATTGAGAAAATGTTAGCAATGTAGAGAGTGGATGAAAACATCAGAAAACTGTTAAAACGCTTCCAAGAAAATCAACACAGGCATATTTGGAGTAATGTGACTTGCATCCTTCATGCTGCTCACCAATGGCTTTTGGCTTAAGCACTGTCTCTCTGTTCAGTTTTAATTAGACAGAATCCAAGGGGTCAGCTTTGATTCTGAAACAGAACTGTCACCGACAATAAGAGTTCCCGTGTAGGAGGAAAACTCCCTAGCATTCTCTTAGCAGGACTTGGAGAGAAGAATGAATAATATCCAGCAAATTCCAAATTTCATTGATGTTAAAACTCACACTGTTCTGCATTGTAACATTTCTGAATTTCAGGTTCATCTTACAATGAATGGCATTTTATAGTCATGGTTGATCAGGTGACAACTGAGATGTTTTGTCACTGCCTGAACACACACAAACTCAGTGGTTATTCCTGGTGGGAAGACTTGGCAACTGTAATCTCCATGTTTCCGTCAGCAAGTTGTATAAAGACCATCTGGAAAAGAAACATGCTGCCTGTTGTCTGAAAACCTTCTGTCGATGCCTTCAGGTAAGATCAAGATTGTGCCAGCATTGGGGCTTCCCTGGTAGATAATGTCATAGTGTTAATAGGAAATGAGCTTTGACCTGAAAGGGATCTCACACTCTGAGAGCCACTGGCATATGAAATGATGGTGTGTTTTACACCATCAGAATTAATGAATATGAACACATTTCCACCTAAAATATTAGAAGGAGTAAAACCTTAACATGGAGAACTATTGTTGGGCAGTTGGTGTAGCACTGTGAGACACTGAGAAATTAACTGATGTACTTTTCTTTTGTGTCTGTGGGAAATGTTTTCTTCCTCCCACTTCAGCGGCCAGCTCACGCTGGGTATCCTGCAGATCTGGGTAATTCTGACCTTAAGAGAAGGTGACTGGGTCCTGAATTTCAGGACACAGTGGAACTGGCTGTTTAGGAAGAGGACACGATAGGAGTTGGGACAAAGTTCAAAGGAGGAGTGTGGTCTGGCTCTGGGTGGAGAAAGCTGGATTTCCTGGAGACTAGGAGAGGAGTGGGCCTTGCAGTTTCTGCCAGTGATGGAGAGCTGGAAAGACAAGTGAGTGTCTGTGCAGGTACCTGTGGAAGAAGGACACTGGGGGCATAAGGCATTGGAACACCAGCCAGGGTCCAAGGGGACTGTCAAGCCAGAGAGAGGTCAGCCTCTGGGGAGGTTCTGGCCTTCCGGGTACCATGACGGCTGGAGCAAAGAGATCCTACTGACAGTCACCTGACCAGGGCCTATTCTGCCACCGCCATCTTGACCTGGAATCCTAGAACTGCCCAAGGAAGAAGGACCAGAGCTATGACCAAAACCAAAATGACAGTTTTCTCTTTCTTCAGGAATCGCTGGAACCAGATTAGCTTTGGTTTAGAAACTACAGAATAGTTACAGCAGCAAAAGCAAAGCAGTGATGAGCACATCTGAGATCATCCTGAATTTGATTTCTAGCGCTGACACTTACTAGCTGGAATGACATTGCTGATAGAACCCACTTCGCAGGATCCCCTCTGGGAGCACTAAATGAGTGACACACTCGGAAGCTCTTCAAACAGCGCCTGGCACATAGTAAGTGCAACATACCTGTCATCATCTCTTGTACCTGGGATGTTCTGGAGGTGTCATACCAGCCACACTGCATCTTTTGGGGACTGGGATAGCTGAAGTTTGACCCTATGTGTAAACGAAGACTACCTTCTAACACTGGAGTCCACGGGACCGCGGGCAGGAAGTTATTCAAAACTGCAGAAGCGCTCTACCCAGGTGCGGGTGGCAGAGGCTGTATGGGAGAGTCCTCGGCTCCACTGCAGACTGACTCCAAGGTCTTCCTGCCTTAGCCCACCGCACCAAGCAAGCCGGAGGGACTGAGGGCTTTTCTCGGCCGTGAGTGCAGGCGTGCCACGTGCACTCGGACATATTCGCCGACATGCAGGCAAGTCCGAGCAAAGACTGCCACGATTTCGTAGGGGCCGGGTCCTCCTGGGTTTCTTAATTTCTGGGTTTTCACATTTTTGCCAGGGCGGGCTCTGGCGCTCTTTGCGCAACTGGGGTAGGGGGCGCCTGCAAGTCTGAGCCGCCTGCAAGTCTGAGCCGCAAGGTGGGCGTGGGCAGGCCCGTCGAGGCCTTTGCCACCTGCTGGCGACAGACGCGTCCAGGGGTGGGGGAGGAGGAGACAGGTCCCCTCCCCAACCCCACTCTCCCCTCCCCCGCGCATCCCGCCTCCGGGGTGGGCGAGGCCGGAGCTCAAGGTCCCGCGGGCTCCCCCACGGGGCGGAGCCGAGGGAGGGGTTTGCGTGCCAGTCACGTCCTACGCTGTAGAGCGGAGCCGCGAGAGGCCGGCCCAGGAGGCGCCACATCCGGCGGCTGCCCCGTGGTGCATAAAGCCGACGCCGCTGGGGCCACCACCGCAGTTGGTTTCCAGCAGCAGCTCTGGCCTCTTCTCGGCTGCGGGAGCAGCTTCTCCAATGCCCCAGAGCGGCCATGAGCTCCCCGCACTGGTGGGACCAGCTGCGGGCTGGCAGCTCGGAGGTGGACTGGTGCGAGGACAACTACACCATCGTGCCTGCCATCGCCGAGTTCTACAACACGGTGCGGAGTGCGGGAGTGGGGATGGCAGCCGGGCTCGCGGGAGGGGGCTGTCCCCAAGCGCCGCGGCGCCTGGAGCCTGGACCTGGGTCTGTGCGTGCATCTGGGGCATTTTCGCTCCAGGGCCAGAGTCGACCCACGCCCCCTCCCCTGCGCGCCTTCCAGTTCTCCATCTGTCCTCCTCTCCTGTCCCTATCGCCGACATCTGGGCTCATCCTCCTCTAAGTCATTTCTTTCTGATGGCTCTATTGTCTTGTTTGGTCCTCACCTGTCCCGGAGTCAGTGCTCCATGTCAGCCCATACTTCCAGTTTGGGTCATTGGGGGCAGTGAACCCGCCAGGACTACTCCCTTCGTCCCTTAGGATCTCTGTGGCGTGACGCACTTGGGTCGCATTGTGCGTTTTTGCCCTGAGCACCTGCTCTAGGAGTCCGGGGAAACGGGGAGACCTACCGGCAGGTCTCTGGGGCGGGGCCCACTCCGAAGGTTGGCCCCGCCCCAAGCGTACACCAATAATAGGTCGAGTTCCTTTGGGCCAGAATTAAGTTAATTGCTTCGAGTTCTTATTTCCTTGCCTTTAGTACAGAGTTTCACACCAGCCCTAAGTTCAGCTCCCGCAGGCCTGTGCATTCTTCAGTTATTAAACCTGGGAAGTGAAAGGGAAATGTGGGAGGGATCGTGTGCGTGTTTTATGGACTTGCCTAGGTCTCTAGATGTGGGCAAGACGAAACTTCCCCACTGCAGAATCCTGTGTGCTTTTAGTCTTTGTGGGAGAGAAAGCCTGCAGTTGGGAAGGAAATACCTCTTCTTTTTGCTATGCCCATGCCTCAGGATTCTGGTACCAAAATGTGAGACTTTGCATGGTCATTTCTGTGGCTTTTCATTTCACTGCCCTAACATGGAAGACAGGAACTCCCGGTTTAAAAGTCGCTGTGAATTTGAGATTGTTCTTTGGGATTTTCCCCTTAGATTTGCTGGAGAGAATGTCCTTGGCGTGAGTCAAATACTTCTTGCCTGGAAGGATCTCCCATGAGCTAGTCCCTCTCTTATTCATTGATGAGAAAACTGAGCTCTCCAGAGGGGAGCTGCTCTGCGTACATTTCTGGCATGGCTGGGGCCACAATCCAGAGCCTGCACTCTCCCTCCCCTCTTTGCTGAAATCCACTGCTGCCCTCCCAGCAAACGTTCCTCCTTTTTTTATGACCGGATTAATTCCTTAAGGAAACCTGGCCCTCTGCTGCCCCTAGACGCTGTGACAGGTGCAGTCAGTGGAGGTGGCCACCCTTCACCTATTGTACAACCTGTTTCAGAGCATGCTATCAGGTGTGGACAGGTGCCTTCAGAGGATGAACTGGAGCAGGGCTGGGTGCTTTCAACGGCAGTGACTCAGTTTCTCCACTTGTAAGTGGAGAGTACTACTAAGGATTTCACCAGAGTAAATGAAGAAATGACAGCTTGGGGACAGGTTCTCATACACCCAGCAAGGTAATTATCTGTGGAGTCTGAGGCCAGCAGAGTCAGGCCTGGTTATTTGGCCAAAAATGTTAGTGTATAGCTGCTCTGGGTCTGCCTTGAAAAGCCCCAGAGTGCTGGATGAGGGGAAGACCTTATTTTGTCTTAACTTTTAATCTAGTCCCATTGGAGCTGTTTCTTAGTGAGTGCCAAAGTCTTTTTTAGAAATGAGCTGTTGATCTTCAGTTGCAGTGTCTGTGGCTGATTAGCTCTGCTGGTCTGCCTGGCAAACCTAATTCTTCGGAATACTTGTAAACCGCAGAATTTGCTTTAGCCAAGTGGAGAGATTGAGGGTCTCAGAGAAGTAGTTGGCCATCAAACTTCGTAGAGTGTCGATCCAAAGAGTTTACCAAAAAAACGCTTCCTCCTCTTCTTTTCACATCCTAGTTACCTTCTGTTCCTCATCACAGGACAAACCCATGCTTATCTTACGCCTGTATTAAGGAAGACATCGAGCTCTTACTTGGTAACAGACATCTCATTAAATCCTCATAGCGAGGCAGCAGGCCTAATTATCCACTTTACAAGAAAATAATAATCATTACTCATTTAGAGAAAAAATTTGAAGGAATAAAGATGTAAAATCAGGAGAAGACTGGGAGGGGGATCTGGAACCTTCTTAATGGAGCTTGGCAGTAGCACATCACTACTGCAACTTTAGTTACTCCTGGCTACCACTAGTTGTTCGCTATGTGTTGAAGCTCTGCTGGGTACTGTACAGTCACCCTCAGCAGTGGGTGCTATTTATTACATCCGTTTTGTAAAGGGGGAAACTGGGGTCTAGATAGATTTTGCAACTTGCTAAGGTCAAGAACATGGCAGAACTAGAGTCAGAACTTGGATGTTCTAACTTGGATCCTACTAAAATACTGCTCTTGAAGATGCACATGCCGTTGTAGCTACTTTAGATTTATTTATTTAGCATGATACAGGTGTTTCTTGTTCAGTCATTCTTTAACTTAAAACTCCTGCATTGGGACCATTTGATCTCTAGGCTAATCATGGTGTTTGATATGGGGAAAAAAAGTTTTGTTTAAAGTAGTTTGTTTTTTTTTTTTTGGCCGTGTCATGTGGCATGCCGGATTTTGGTTCCCCAACCAGGGACTGAACCTGGGCCCCCTGCAATGGAAGTACAGTCTTAACCACTGGACCACCAGGGAAGTCCCTTAAAGTAGTTTTTTGAAATTGTTGTTTATTATAAAAGTAACAACATGATCATGGTAAAAAAAAAAAAATCAGAGTAGGCAAGTTATAAAATGAAAAATACCCTTCCGTATCTTTTCAGACATTTTATAAGCATGCAAAAAACACGTGTATTTGTGTAGACATAAAAGATATGTGTGCAACGTGTATATACACACCACAACCCAATTGAGATCATGCTACAGAAACTCTTCTGCACCTTGGTTTTTTCCCTTAATTTGTCTTGGAGATAATCCCATATTGGATCATATAGAATTATCTTCCTCTTCACAATGTCTATACAGTATTTCATTTAATGGATTGACCATAATTTATTAAACCAGTCAATTCATTATTGGTGGACATTTAAGGAAGTTTCTGTTTATTGTTTTCATTTTGGTTTCTGAACAGTGATGCAATGAATATCCTCAAATAGGCATCTGGATGTACTTCTCCAAGTACTAATTCTAGATGGGAAATTGGCTGTGTGGAGGGGAGTATTTACTTCAAAGGCTTTTAATTGTTGCTTAATGGTCCACCAGAGAGAGTACTCTGATCTGTGTTCCCACTGGCCATGTTTGGGAGTACATGTTTGCTTTTGGTCCCCGCAAATCTCCATTGCCTCAAATTTTGTCGTTGTCCTTTGCGTCAGCCAAGCCCAAATATCTCTTCCAAGAACACATCATGCCCTTACACAGTCTTTTGCTTTTGCACATTTTGTACTGTTTCCTGTAAATACAAGTTTTAGGGCTTCCCTGGTGGCGCAGTGGTTGAGAGTCCGCCTGCCGAAGCAGGGAACACGGGTTCGTGCCCCGGTCCGGGAAGATCCCACATGCCGCGGAGCGGCTGGGCCCGTGAGCCATGGCCGCTGAGCCTGCGCGTCCGGAGCCTGTGCTCCACAACGGGAGGGGCCACAGCGGTGAGAGGCCCGCGTACCGCAAAAAAAAAAGTAAATACAAGTTTCATTGAATTGAGTTCCTTTTTATGTTTTAAGGTTTCTTTTGTTGTTGTTTTGTTTTTGTTTTTTTTTTAGCGGTACGCGGGCCTCTCACCGCTGGGGCCCCTCCCGTTGTGGAGCACAGGCTCCGGACGCGCAGGCTCAGCGGCCATGGCTCACGGGCCCAGCTGCTCCGCGGCATGTGGGATCCTCCCGGACCGGGGCACGAACCCGTGTTCCCTGCTTCGGCAGGCGGACTCTCAACCACTGCGCCACCAGGGAAGCCTATGTTTTAAGTTTTAAGGCTCAGTCACACTAAAGAGAAAGACTCCAGACCTAGCAGCTTTGGAGAAAAGGGGGGTATGCCTTTTAATCACCGAGCTTGGCCTTTGGGAATTCTCTTGGGGACTCAGGGGGACAGAAGGAAATCAACTGGTGCTGGAAAAAAGTCTTGAAGCAAAATATATGCCTAAAATCAGTCCATGATCTGTCACCTCTCCTAATCAGCTCTGCCCCCAATCGTCAAGATAAGTAGAGTTCTCTTTATATGCCAAAGCCCACATCCCACTATCTGTAGGGCAGAGTTATCCATCAATCTATCAGTCTCTCCCTCCATCCATCCACCCACCCATTTGCTGGGCAACTGTGTGCCTATCACAGAGACCAGACCTGCAAACAGTCATCTGGATGGTGAGGACCATAGGAGGGGTATGTACAAGTCACTGAGGTGTTATTAGTACTCTGCTGGGGGTTGGTGTGCTGTGGAGGTGGGGTAGGGGATTTTGCAGGAAGGCTTCTGAGTCGGGTGACCAACTTGTCCTGGTTTGTCTGGGACTTGCCCAGTTTTAAAACTGAAAGTCCCGTGTCCTGGAAACCCTCCTCAGTGCCAGGCATACCAGGACAGTTGGCCATTCCAGAGGCAGAAAGGGAGCAATGGAATGGACAGTTAGGAATCTGCATACGATTAAGATACGTAGTCTACTCACAGGGTAATGCCCCTAGCTGTTCACGAACTTGCTGTTGAGAAAAACTTACAGCCTGTTGCTTTGTCAGTATTTACCCCCTGTCTGGGAAAGTGCACAATCACACGCGTCAGGATGAGATTGCAGTGTGTTCCTGAGATTATTTTGGTACAAATGGCTGGTAGGAATTCATAGAATGAGGAACTTTCTAAGGAAATAATAAATTTTAAAATTGTGGTTTCCTTTTAATGAAAAAAAAAAAATCTGTTCTGCAGGCATTGAACAAACCAATTCTCCAAAGGATAGTCCAACAATAGGCTTTAAAAAATACCCCCTAGCTGAACTATTCAACTTTAGTGAGCCACACAACTTTGAGGGGAAGTTTCATTTCTCAGTAGACATGGAGCCATTGAATCTGTCTTTCAACAAATGAATCTTTTACCAACGACTTGTTTGCTTTTCCGTATTTCTTTAGGAGTTCCTTCCTCTTTTTGTCTAGGGGAGCGTCTCCCTCTAATTTGGTCTTTTCCTTTTCATAGATTGATGTCTTTTTTTTTTTTTTTTAATTGAAAAAAAAAATTTTGGCCGTACCACACGGCATGCAGGATCTTAGTTCCCTGACCAGGGATCACACTCGCCCCCCCTGCACTGGAAGGGCGAAGTCTTAACCACTGGACCGCCAGGGAAGTCTCTGTATTTACAACTATTTACATAGCATTTACACTGTATTAAGTATTATACATAATCTAGAGATGATTTAAAGTATACAGGAGGATGTGTGTATGTTATATGCAAATATTATGCCATTTTATATAAAGAGACCTGAGCATCCAGGTGAGTTTGGTATCTGAGGGGGTCCTGGAGCCGATCCCCCACAGATACCGAGGGATGACTGTACTGGGGTAAAAAGCTGTGTTATATTTATTCCCTGGCATTGTAGGTGAGGCTGCAAATTAGTGCGCCTCCCACTGGGGAATGGCTCAATAAACTGCTTCTGTCTGCAGCACTTACAGCAAGTGTGATAAAGCTCTGTGAGCTAAGATGAAAAAGTTTGCAAGGCATGTTGTCGAATGATGAGAGGAAGTTGCAGAATGATAATGTTGTAATATATGATATATATATGTATTTACATAAATGCAAAGAAATTGAAGATTGTGAATCTGAGAAGAGGGGATATCTCCAGGGAGGAGGATAGAAAGGAAGACTTTAGTTTTGTAATGTGTTCTTTTTCTTACACGGAGAACGCATTCATGTACGTGAAAGGAGAAAGTTACTTATAGTATAACAATTACATTTTTCTCCCTCTTCTCCCCTGTCACCTCCTTTTATTCCTCCTACTTCTGTGTTTAACAAAAAGGAGAGCTGTGTTTAAATCACATAAAGGTCGTAGGTGCACAGTGTGTGATGCAATTCAGAATTTTTAGATGCCCATTGAGGCATGAAGCCAAGGAGGTCAGAATGTGGTTGGGTGGATTGGAGGCGAAAAAACATCAGCTTGGGGCAGTGGAAGGAGTGGCTGGATGCTGGCCCCAGCTCTGTGGGTGACTGCCTCTCTGACTTTGGCCAGCCTGGGAGCCTTTCTGGGCCCTTAATTATATCCCCTTGTAAAGCAAATGATCTTTAAGATCTCTCATTTTAACTCTTAAAGATCTCTGATTTTTTTTTTTTTTTAAAGATCTCTGATTCTTTAAATGATTCCAAGGAAAGTTAAATCCTGTGATAATATGTAGACCCTTGTCCTGATTCTTCATTCTCTGCTTCTTAGTAAATAAATGAGAGTCGGCTATATTTCCAAGTCTGGAGACTGCATACCACCTGGGACAGCTGAGGCCATTTATCCAGACTCTTGCCCAGGGTCACCAGTAGCTCAGAGGGCTCCTAGTGGGGGAAAGAGGAAAAGGTCCCCACCAGAATGGGCCAACTAGAACAAGGTACCCCCTTCTCCAGAAGGATGCAGCCCCACGAGGGATTTCAGTCTTGAACTTTAACCAAAGGCAGCAGCCTTGCTCCTATCGCACCCCTGACCAAAGGTCTTGTCCTCTCTTTATTTCTCTCCCACTCTGTCCTTCTCCCCTTTCTAAAGACTGTGTCATTCCCATTCCCTCTTGTTCCCAGATGGTGACAGAGGCGTGCGTTAGCTACTGTTGTTGCTAGTTCCTACCTGTACTACACCTCAAGTTCTGCAGTTTGCTATGCATTTTGTTTAGTTTTGATTTCCTTGGTCTGGACACGGGTTCGAGCCCTGGTGCGGGAAGATCGCACATGCCGTGGAGCAACTAAGCCTGTGCGCCAGAACTACTGAGCCTGGGCGCCTAGAGCCTGTGCTCTGCAACAGGAGAAGCCACCACAATGAGAAGCCCTCGCACCGCAAAGAAGAGTAGCCCCCGCTTGCGGCAACTAGAGAAAGCCCGTGCACAGCAGCGAAGACCCAACACAGCCAAAAAAAAAAAAAAAGAGAAAGAGGCAGGAAGGAGCCCCCTAAAATGTTATTAAAGAAGTTGTGAGTTTTCCTGGTTGTGCTTTTTTTTTTTTGGTTAAAAAAAGATGTATGGCCACATTCATCTCCATTTGCAAAGGACATACTAGGAACAAGCTGCTTTACTTTTTGCCCTTTTACTTAATATTCATCTTTTCGTTTTACATTTTCTCCCCCCAGATCAGCAACGTCTTGTTTTTCATTTTACCGCCCATCTGCATGTGCTTGTTTCGTCAATATGCAACATGCTTCAACAGTGGCATCTACTTAATATGGACTCTGTTAGTTGTAGTGGGTAAGTGGATTCGTTTGCGAGCATGGGCTGAAAGGGAGGAAATGGAATTCTGCACACTCCCTGACCCCTTTGAACATTATGTTTTGTAAACCAAAGTCATTCTGACGTCTTAGCAAACTTTTATGTTGTTTGCTAGATGCCAAAAGGAGGACTCTTTTGGGCTTCATAACAAGGTTGACCGTAGTTATCACAATTGCGTTTGAGAATTCATTTATGTAATAGCTATTGGTGTTGTGCCAGTGCAGTTTTCTGTGAACTTCTGAAGAAAGTCATGTGAAACAATTGAAGTCTGATGAAACTGTGGTTTCTAATGGACTAAAATAAAAAAAAGAAAACAAATGAAGGATCAAATGTTTGATCCTTCATTATTCTGGGAAATACTTGTATAATTTTCATTTCCTTCCACAGGCAGATTGGGAATTCTTAACAGTGAGAGAATGTTGACTTTTTTTACTGCCTGTTCCCATGAACAGGTGGATGAAGACAGAGTGTTGTGCAGTTATTAAAGATCTGTGCGAGGGAGGGAGACGCAAGAGGGAAGAGATATGGGAACATATGTATATGTATAACTGATTCACTTTGTTATAAAGCAGAAACTAACACACCATTGTAAAGCAATTATACTCCAATAAAGATGTTAAAAAAAAAAGATCTGATGTGCTGGTGTTTGGGCCCTTCTTCAAATCTTCTTTCTAGACTTGAAGTCTGCATGCCTAGGTGGTGTGAGTTTCTTCAGTTTCTTTTCTCAGAGAGATAGAGTGACCTGATCATTGCTGTTTGTGAAAGGGCTATCCCTAAGCAGTGTATTGAATTTGTGAGTCTGTTCTTCTATGTGACCTTTTTTATTGGTTGTAATTGATTCTAGGAATTGGATCCGTCTACTTCCATGCAACCCTTAGTTTCCTGGGTCAGATGCTTGATGAACTTGCAATCCTTTGGGTTCTGATGTGTGCTCTGGCCATGTGGTTCCCCAGAAGGTATCTACCAAAGATCTTTCGGAATGACAGGTAAGTTTGTACTAAATTTTTGCATTTACTACTAGGTGTGGTACCCAATATAACGATGTATTGGGTTGGCCAAAAAGTTCGTTCGGGTTTTTCCATCTTGCAGAAAAACCCGAACGAGCTTTTTGGCCAACCTAGTATATATCAAGAAAAATCACACAGGTACACAAAAAGGGGTTCCCTGGTGGTGCAGTGGTTAAGAATCCACCTGCCAATGCAGGGGACACAAGCTTGAGCCCTGGTCCGGGCAGATCCCACATGCCATGGAGCAGCTAAGCCCGTGCGCCACAACTACTGGCCCGTGCTCTAGAGCCCGCAAGCCACAACTACTGAAGCCTGCGCACCCAGAGCTATGCTCCGCAACAAGAGAAGCCACCGCAATGAGAAGCCCGCGCACTGCAACGAAGAGTAGTCCCCACTCACCACAACTAAAAGCCTGCACACAGCAACGAAGACCCAGCACAGCCAAAAATAAAATAAATTAGAAAAAAAAAAGAAAAATCACACCCTATTGAGTCTAACCTAGTGATGAGCTTATCATATACTTATTTAATATCCACTGATTGTACTGTCAGACCAAAACCAAACTGCCGATAAAAAAGGTGATTTTAATATGTTGGGGAAGAAGTTACCTGACAGTAGGACAAAAAGTCAATATCCCCCTTACTGGTACTAGCAAAACTAGAAGGCTTTTCAGGGCAGGAGAAAAGACTGAATGGTAGTTCAAAGACCTTTGATTTCCTGCTATAATATTTCCTGAGTCCCACCCAACTCCACGAGTTTTAAATGTTTACAGTAGAATCCACACTGAGGAACTGGTTCTTGGCGCTATAGATAATATTCAAATTGTGTCAGTATTGCTTCTGATGAGAGCTACACACACACACACACACACACACACACACCTTTAAGCTGGAAATCCAGTATTTCAGGAAGGGATGCATTTTAATATCCATTGTGTTATTCTTTTTTTTTTTTTGCTGTATGTGGGCCTCTCACTGTTGTGGCCTCTCCCGTTGCAGAGCACAGGCTCCGGATGCGCAGGCTCAGCGGCCATGGCTCACGGCCCAGCCACTCCGCGGCACGTGGGATCCTCCCGGACCCCTGCGTCGGCAGGTGAACTCTCAACCACTGCGCCACTAGGGAAGCCCCATTGTGTTATTCTTACATGGTTATTTATCAAGTATATATTTTTTGGACTTAACTATTTACCATGAACTATTTACTATGAAGTTTTCTAGGCACTAGGATATAACAGCAACGTCTCTGCCCTTGATGGGCTTACACTGAAGTTGGAGAGATTATGAATCAACAAACACACACATAAATAATATTATGTTAGGGTGTGAGAGTGCTATGATGAAAAATGAAGCTGGTAAGGGGGTAGTGGTGACTTGGGGTGCTGGTTTAGAGTTTGGTCAGAGAAGGTCTTTCTGAGGCACTCTTGTTAATATCTGAAGTAACAGAAGAGAGTCAGCGTCATAAAGATGAGAAATTCTCCCAGAACTCATTACTCATATGTTTCTCTGTACACACTGTTTAGTTAAAATATATATATAGAGATAGATAGATAAACAATCCAAAAATATGGATTCAATCAAGCAAGCTGTGTGTGCCCAGGGAAGAGCTATACCAGGAAAATAAAAGAGTTCATTACAGTTTTCCTGGTAATGGGAGGAGAATAGGAGCAATGCAGCTATTAGAGACGCAGGCTGTTCTGTATGGATAGAGGTAGAGGAGTGTCAATGAAACGTGCTGGCTGCAAAAAGCACCTTGTAGAACCTGTGTGTGTAACACCCTAATTTATTTAGAATGAATGAAGCCTCTTTTGAGTATATGTCTTTGTATATGCATAAACATGCCTGAGAGGATGAGGACAGCAGCTACTACCATTGGCTATTCTTAGGAATTGGGGTGGAGAGAGAAATTTCACTTTTACCTTTAATCTGTACTGTTTTACAATTTTTTTTTAAAAAGAGCACATTAATTTTTAATCCTAAAAAATGCATTATTAAATGAGGTAGGGAGAAAACATACTTTATTTATTTATTTATTGGCCACACCACATGGCTTGGCAGGATCTTAGTTCCCTGACCAGGGATTGAACCTGGGCCCCGGCAGTGAAAGCACTGAGTCCTAACCACTGGACCACCAGGGAATCCCAAGAAAACATACTTTAAATGGATTAGCTGTACAATCTTCATCCTGGGCAGCAGGATTTGAATTAAATAGTATTATCTCTAAATAACCATTGAGCAGATAGACGTATCCTCAAGAGGTTACTTATCAAAAAATAAGAGAGAGAGAGAGAGAGAGAGAGAGAGCAGCTGTTTACAAGTAGAAGCGAAAAGGAGGGTGTTCCTGGTCTTAGATGAAATATGTTCTCCATCGTGCTGAGACCTTCTCCAGAATAGAAACCGGAAAGAGCCTAAGCCAACCTGCTGTGTTTCAGTTGTGTGTCTTGTTTCCTTGTTCAGCTTCAGGAGAATGACTGGGGGGTAATCAGAAAGCCTTGGGAGGTCGGGCAGGGGTGAGGGCAGGGGTGGAGGTAGATGCCACTCGAGCAGGGGCACGAAGTGGCTTGGCCAGTGGGGACTTTTTACCTCTGCCTGAGAGACACAGCCCTTACCTTTTGGCCTTTTCTGTGGTCTCAGAAGGTGCCCACCAGTCACCTCCATGCTTTCCCTGAGAACACGTGCATTAGGTTGAGAGCTGAGGAACCATTTTGCTCTTAGATCTGATTGTTCAAATCCTGGGATCTGAGTGAGAAGCTGACGAAATGGGAATAAGGGTTTTGTTTGTTTGTGGTGCTCTGGAGGCCTGGGTTTGAAATTCCACTGGACAGTTTTTAATGTGTTCATAATAGAGAATCTTTTTCTTTTCTTGTCTCTTGGTGGGTGCAGGAGAGAAGAAAATGGGGCAATGCTGTAGTAATGAAAACTTACCGACTTTAATAATGAAACACATTTTGAGGCAGGGGGGTCTGTGACCACCTGGGACTCTTCCATCGCCAGCACTCTGCAGCCTTTCTCTGCTGAAGATGTGAACTCTCTGCCTTCAGTTTGGGGAGAGTCCTTTGGAGGCACTGAGCACCCTGTATGTCTATATCCTTGGCTTTGGAGACCCACCTGGGTTTGATTCCTAGCTTCCCTGCTTACGAACTGTATAACTTGTCTTGACTCTTCAACTTTCTGTTTCCTCATCTGTAGAATTAGGTGATTCATGGTGTTCACCTCAGGGTTCTTGTGAGATGATCCTGCAGAGCGCTCTGTAGAGTACTAAGAACATGGTCAGTGCTTCAAGTTAGCTTTCGTTATTACCAATGGCACGTGGAAATTTCTGCCCAGCATTTCTGAGCTATGCATACCAATTGAAGGAGAGAATGAACATTGCTAATTTTAACGAGCAAAGAAAGAAAAGGTGCATGTTATAGCTCACTGTAAATAAGGATTTCAGCTCTATTTGTTGGCCTTCAATTTGCCAGTGGTGGGGAGAGCAAGAAGGCCAGAAACCCAAACCCCTCTGTGTGGGCTTCACCACCCATGATGCGGGGACAGGTGGCAGCTCTGCAGTGGAATGGCAGGCCACACCAAAGATTTCGGGTCAAAACCAGGAATTCTGGAGACTGGGGAGTGTGTGTTTTAACTGCCTGAACTTACACGATAGTTAAGATTTGTCTCCCCTCAGCCCCCCACTTTTTTTTTCAGTGATCTAGACTTTGCTGGAATATTTCTAACAACCTATTAGGAGTGGTTCCAGTGTGAGATTTCTAGAGAAGAGAGGGGAGAATGTGTTGACTAAGTGACTTTGGATCAGACAAATACGGATTTCAATAACAATCCAGTTTTTTTTTAAGCTCTGATACCTCATTTTGCTCATCTGTAAAGTGGAGCTAGTAAAAGAATCTACCTTAGGGGTTAGAAATATACGGGAAAATCATATCAAGTGTATAATATAGTGTCTCTTACAGAGTAAAGACTAAATGCTAGAAGTTTTTATGAATGGCTCATACAGGTAAGAGTTTTGAAGATAAAGATATCTAGAACGGCAGGGAAATTATCAAAGTTCATATGTAAATAGAAGTAATTGGTGGGATTTTTAAAAAAAGGGCTGTCTTTCATCTTGCCTGGAATGTCTGAAGAATTGTCAGGATATACACTCAACTGTTGATGGTTATTAATAATTTGGGGCTTCCCTGGTGGTGCAGTGGTTGAGAGTCCGCCTGCCGATGCAGGGGATGCGGGTTCGTGCCCCGGTCCGGGAAGATCCCACATGTCGCGGAGCGGCTGAGCCCGTGAGCCATGGCCGCTGAGCCTGCACGTCCGGAGCCTGTGCTCCGCAACGGGAGAGGCCGCAACAGTGAGAGGCCTGCGTACCGCAAAAAAAAAAAAAAAAAAAATTGACATTTTTGTTTTGAGAAAAAGACCTTTTGTAGGCTAATTGTATACATTTTCTAAAGAATTTATCTTGGTTTTTATGATGTTGTGTCTACAAAATGTAGGGACAGCCCTCACTTTATGATCCAGTTCATTTTTTGAATCCTGAATAGCAAGGTTGCAGGCTGAGGTTTCCCTGTCCTGCTCTCTCTCTGCCTGGATAACCTGGGGCCTCCATCTCAGACTCTCTGGGCTGTATCAGTTCCTTAGAAAATGATGGGGGTGGACTTTCCAGGACCAAATGCTGGAGTCCTGTGAGTATCAGGGGCTTGTTCTAAATAGGTTATATTTTAGTCTTAAAGGGGAGTTTAAAGCAGTGGATCTTAGCCAGGGACATGTCTATCCCATGCAGGCCATCTGGGAAGTTTAAGGACATGTTTTTGGTGGCCCCAGTGATGGGAGGTTTTATCATCCATAAATTCTATTTCACTTCAGAAGAGTAAAGGGGGCATTACCAAACATTTGATATAAAAAAGGAGCTCAGGGCCTGATAGGGCTGAAAACCATTGCTTTAAAGGGTAGCTAATGATAAGAACAGTAACAGTATTATTATAATAATATTATGATGATGGTATTTGGTTGCTAGATTTTGGTTTGGGGAATACAGGAAGAAGGGATGCTAAGGGTTCCCTGACCTTGTGTTCAGTTTGAGCCCATAATGGGCTGGAAAGTTGAAAACAGGAACAGAGGCCACAGTAAGGGTTGTTTAGAAAACACCCGATGGGGACCCCTTGCTTTGGGTTATTTCTAGCTCTCTCTGTCCCCAGGGCCTCTGGTGACCGTGGGGTCGGCTGGTGACCTCTGTTGACTTCTGCTGGTTGCAGAATCGTGCATTCACACGATGTCTTCATTGGTTAAGCTGCCTTCCAGAAGTGCATTCCTCCACACCCTCTGGGGAGTGGTAGGGAAGTGTCTGCCCACGTTCCCCTTAGAAAAAGCATGCTTCGTCAAGCTTGTTGCCTTTGAACTCTTCGGCAGAACCATATAGAGCCTTTGCTGATTGCAGCACCAGCTCAGTCAGCTTTTCCCTGCGTGTGATATTATCAACAATGATGTTATGTAAAATAACATTTCTTCTCAAAGGATGGTCATGATAACAGAAATAATGGATTTTATTTGCACACACCATGTACCAGGCTCTGTGTTGAGTGCTTTAATGCTTGTATGAACACCATGGGGCCAGTGTCTTGATTTCCATACGGAACACCTGAAGCCTAGGGAGTTTTAGTGACCTGCCAAAGACCCCAGCACTGCTAAGTGATGGAGGCAGAATGTGAACATAGTGGGTCTCATGTTGCTCTCCGTGTCCTGTGCCTGAGTCCTAAACCATTGGATACAGAGAGATGATGCAATTTGGAAGTATCTGATTATGTGTTTATGCAGTCTAAAAGGCAAAAAAGCCTGGACGTGTCACAGAACCTCAAACCCAGTAACAGAGTTACCGTGGGTCCCCAAGGGCCATGCGCATGCTCAGGGCTGGGGCCTGTCACGCTGCCGTCCTCAGGCTGTGTCGCAGACTTTTATCCGGTAGCTGAAGGATGCCGGCAAGGCCAGGAAAAGAACACGGTTCTCCTGAGGATTTGCTGCCTGGATCCTTTCCCATATACATATATTTTCCCTCTGGTCGAAGTTCAGGGCTACAATTCCTGTTCATTCCAGTCAGAATGTTGGCAGCTTGATCAATGATTTCCTGTGCCTTGATGATAAGTGGTGTTCCTCTTTAAGAGATCCATTTGTTTTTTTGTTTGTTTGTTTTGTTTTCTGGTACGTGGGCCTCTCACCATTGCGGCCCTTCCCGCTGCGGAGCACAGGCTCCGGATGTGCAGCCTCAGCGGCCATGGCTCACGGGCCCAGCCGCTCCGCGGCATGTGGGATCTTCCCGGACCGGGGCATGAACCCGCGTTCCCTGCATCGGCAGGCAGACTCTCAACCACTGCGCCACCAGGGAAGCCCTGATCCATTTGTATTTTGAAGGTTTCAAAGCACTTTGATTTCCTTATAATGGAATTTCATGCAGATTAGCTTCCTAACTGTGACCCTTTCCAGGGCTCTTGGCCAAAGTAAATTGTGCTAATGAGGAATAACAGAAACTTCAGGAAAATCATGTGCCCCTAAATTTCAGTCATGGCTATGGCCTTTGAGATCATCTAGTCCAGACTAGACAGGAAATTTGTAGATAAGGAAACGGAGTCCCAGGGAGGGAAGAAGGAGCATGTCCAGGGTCACGTCGCCACTTCTAGATCTTGCTACCGAAAGCACCTTCACTGAAGGGTGTAAGGATGGTATGCATTATTTTTCTAAGATTTGTCATGTCGAAAACCTAACACAAAATTCCAATGCATACTAGACTGGATTGTCAGTAAATATAGACACTAGAATTTTAGACTTTTGTGTGCTAGACACATAGGGCATTTTTTTCTTTTAATCTAGGAAGTTTTATGGTTTGTAAATGGTCTCTGTTTTTCTGATAAAGGTCATACATGTTCACCTTGTAGAACAGGGGTTGGCAGACTATGTTCTTCGGCCAGGTGGGCCCCTTGCCTGTTTTTGCAAGTCAAGTTTTATTGGTGCATAGCCATGCCTATTTGCTTACTTGCTGTCCACAGTGGCAGAGTTGAGTAGCTGAGGCAGAGACCCTGTGACCTGCAAAACCTAAAATATTTACTATCTGACCCTTTACAGAGAGAGTTTGCCCAATCATGCTGTAAAACATCTGAAAAAAACATACAGAGAAATGCCACTAAAAAAAAATCAAGTATTCATATCTCACCCTTAGGGATTTAGGTTGATTTTAATTTTACCATTTTCATGGCTAAATATTTTGAAAATTTCTTACTGTTTCCTGAGGATAAATTCCTAGAATAACTGAGCCAGTGCACGAGAATGGTTTTCTACGTTCCTGGTACTCAGTGTGGAATGTCTTTTGAGCTTGCACTCCCATCAGCAGTGCCCGTACTTTGCCAGCATTCAACAAATCAACACGACCTCCTTTGCTAATGGATTCGGTTTGCTTTCACCCATGCAGGGGCAGGTTCAAGGTGGTGGTCTGCGTCCTGTCTGCAGTTACAACGTGCCTGGCGTTTGTCAAGCCTGCCATCAACAACATCTCTCTGATGACCCTGGGGGTTCCTTGCACGGCGCTGCTCGTTGCTGAGCTAAGGAGGTGGGTGCAGGTCTTCCTGCCTGGCCCTGAGGCTGTCCCTGGGGTAGGAGCAAACCAGCTCCTGGTTCTTTTACTGCCCTTGAATGTGGAAGAGGAGATACCCCTCACAAAGAGTAGTTCCTGACTTTTGGATTAGCATCAAGTTGCCTGGTTTGGTTCAAAATGTTAACGATCTCATTTTCAGAAAGAGGGGAGCAGTGTATGCAATGCATCCCAATGGTTCGAAACTAGCTTAGGAGGAAACATCTCAAGGACCTGGTGAGTGCCTAGACCAAGCTGCCTAGAGGTAATTCTGTAGAAAGGAGAATAGATGTGCTCATGTGACACGAATAAGGAGGAAAGCAAAGTCCTAGAGAGGCTATTGCATTTACATACAGAAGGAAAAAGAAATGAATGTCTATATACAGAGCAGCACTGCTCCTTTCTCTGAGGCCTAGTTTCTTACAGTCTATCAGGTAAAGCCTTTGCTGTTTGCATAAGCATTTTCTTGTGGGAAGTTGTATGTGCAGAGTTCAGGTTGATATCCAGAAACATTTTAGTTTAGCTCTTGTGCGTTTATGACTGTCTTATTCAGCCCCAATTAAAACACAACTCAACCACTGCCCTTATTGTAATACTCTTTGAAAATGCTTCTTTTTCTCTGCACTCACTTGTAGACATCCATTTTAATTCATGACTCTTGGTCATGGACATAGATGCTCTTAATTGAAGTCTTACATTTATCTACCTTAGTGAGAGTTTCTCTGTGTAATGTGTTATAAGCTTTCTCTCAGTCTTTGTTTTGAGTGGAGACATGTATATATTTCCTGCCAATGCTTTGTCTCTGTGTGTTGTTTTGATTATTAGCAATACCAGGTAGGGACAGAGGTGGTTGAAGAGGTATTTAAACTTGCTGGCTGGCAGTGGAAAGACTCTGCCCTGTCTTGTCTTGTTTTGTCTTGTCGGCTTTGAGTAGCCTTCACAGACCTGGGAAGTAAGAGACCCATTTCAGAACACTAACACATCTTAAAACTCCAGAACACTAACAGATCTTAAAACTCTTTGGAAAACAATTATTGGGTTGGCCGAAAGTTTCATTCATTTTTTTCCATAAGATGGCTCTAGTAGTACTTAGTTGTCTTTAACTTCATTCAAAACAATTTTGTTAGATTGTATGTGACAGCTGTCATATTAGCGTGCATTTAAAAAAACCACTTATTGGGACTTCCCTGGTGGCGCAGTGGTTAAGAATCCACCTGCCAATGCGGAGGATGCAGGTTTGAGCCCTGGTCCGGGAAGATCCCACATGCTGCGGAGCAGCTAAGCCCGTGCGCCACAACTACTGAGGCTGTGTGCCACAACTGCTGAGCCTGCGCTCTAGAGCCTGTGAACCACAACTACTGAAGCCCGTGCGCCTAGATCCCGTGTTCTGCAACAAGAGAAGCCACCGCAATGAGAAGCCCGCGCACCACAACGAAGAGTAGTCCCCGCACGCCGTAACTAGAGAAAGCCTGTGCACAGCAGCCAAGACCCAATGCAGCCAAAAAGAAATTTAAAAAAAGACTTATTAAAATTGGTGAATTTTTGTGGCCATTTTAATATTGAAGATGGAAGAAAAAAAGCAACATTTTTGGCTGACTATGCTTTATTATTTCAAGAAAGGTAAAAATGCAACCAAAATGCAAGAAAAGATTTGTGCAGTGTATGGAGAAGGTGCTGTGACTGATCGAACATGTCAAAAGGGTTTGTGAAGTTTCGTTCTGGAGATTTCTCACTGGATGATGCTCCCTGGTCGGGTACACCAGGTGAAGTTGATAGTGATCAAATCGAGACGTTAATGGAGAAGAGTCAACGTTATACCATGTGGGAGACAGCCGACATACTCAAAATATCCAAATCAAGCGTTGAAAATCATTTGCACCAGCTTGGTTATGTTCATGGCTTTGATGTTTGGGTTCCACGTAAGTTAAGCGAGAAAAACCTTCTTGACCGTATTTCTGCATGCTATTCTCTGCTTAAATGCAATGAAAACCTTCCATTTTTAAATCAAATCGTGACGGGCAATGAACAGTGGATGCTGTACAATAATGTGGAATGGGAGAGATCGTGGGGCAAGCGAAATGAACCACGACCAACCACACCTTCGTCCAAAGAAGGTGATGTTGTGTATATGGTGGGATTGGAAGGGAGTCCCGTATTATGAGCTCCTTCTGGAAAACCAAACGATTAATTCCAACAGATACTGCTCCCAGTTAGACCAACTGAAAGCAGCGCTCGGCGAAAAGCATCCGGAATTAATCAACAGAAAACGCATAATCTTCCATCAGGATAACGCAAGACCGCATGTTTCTTTGATGACCAGGCAAAAACTGTTACAGCTTGGCTGGGAAGTTCTGATTCATCCATCGTATTCACCAGACGTTGCACCTTTGGATTTCCATTTATTTCGGTCTTCGCAAACTTCTCCTAACAAGAATTTTCATTTGCCTGGAAGACTGTAAAAGGCATCTGGAACAGTTCTTTGCTCAAAAAGATTAAAAGTTTTGGCTGAGTAATATTCCATTGTATATATGTGCCACATCGTCTTTATCCATTCCTCTGTCGATGGACACTTAGGTTGCTTCCATGTCCTGGCTATTGTAAATAGAGCTGCAGTGAACATTGTGGTACATGACTCTTTTTGAATTATGGTTTTCTCTGGGTATATGCCCAGTAGTGGGATTGCTGGGTCACATGGTAGTTCTACTTTTAGTTTTGTGAGGAACCTCCATACTGTTCTCCATAGTGCCTGTATCAATTTACATTCCCACCAAGAGTGCAAGAGTGTTCCCTTTTCTCCACACCCTCTCCAGCATTTATTGTTTGTAGACTTTTTGATGATGGCCATTCTGACTGCTGTCAGGTGATACCTCACTGTAGTTCTGATTTGCATTTTTTTTTTTTGATAATTAGTGATGTTGAGCATCTTTTCATGTGCTTTTTGGCCATCTGTATGTTTTCTTTGGAGAAACGTCTATTTAGATTTCCATTTATTTTGGTCTTTACAAAATTCTCTTACTGGAAAAAATTTCAATTCCCTGGAAGACTGTAAAAGGCACCTGGAACAGGTGCTCAAAAAGATAAAACATTTTGCGAAAGTGGAATTATGAAGTTGCCTGAAAAATGGCAGAAGGTAGTGGAACAAAAGGGTGAATACGTTCAATAAAGTTCTGGGTGAAAATGAAGAATGTGTCTTTTATTTTTACTTAAAAACTGAAGGCACTTTTTGGCCAACCCGATAAATTGCCTATAAGACATCTGGATGGATTTGTAGCAGTCAGTCCAGTGATGCTGCCTGCTGTTAGGCTTGAAGTCAATCGAATGTTCTGCACTTAGCTATGTTTCTTGAGAATTCATTGCAATCTTGTTGTCACTTTAACTCCTGAGTCTAATCATCTGTTTTAGTCTATAATTTTGTTAAAAAATAGCTAAGGAAAGGGCAACTTTTAAATTCATATTACCTAAACAAGAGCAAATGAAAGACAAGTGGTTAGGGCAGATGCTTTTAAGGTTTAAATTCTGCTTCACAACTGTGATCTTTAAGCAGGGAAACATATCTTTCTTTAATATTCCAACCTTTGCAAGTAACTACAGAGGAAATAATTTCTGTTCCATACTTAAAATCCTGGCCCCTAAAAAGCTAGTCCTCACTGCTGCTAATTGGTCTTCATCACGACATTAGCAAATTGCCGTATCATGGGAAGCATCCCCGCTTCCACCTAGGGTCAGCCTTTCTGCCCCTTGATAATTCCCTCTTCTCCCATGCTTAGTTTACCCCCGTAAGTTGTCTACTGTGTCATCCCTCCCTCTCCAAAGGATCCATCCCATTAGCCTGCAGCCGTGTTTGAGTCTCCCCCATCTTCTCTAACACCCAAACCTGGACTCAGTCACATCTGTCTCCAGCCATCACCCTTTCTCTCTCCTGTCTGTCACAGCCACACTTATTTAAAAGTTGTCTCCAGGGAATTCCCTGGCCGGTCCAGTGGTTAGCACTCGGAGCTTTCACGGCTGTGGCCCGGGTTCAATCCCTGGTCAAGGAACTAAGATCCTGTAAGCCGTGTGGCGTGGCCACACACACACACACACACACACACAAATGAATAAAATTGTCTCCATCCATCACCTCTCATTTAGTCTTCAAGCCACTCCAATCTGGCTTCTGTCCCCACTTCAATACCCAAACCCTCTTGGTTGTGCATCCAATGGTCATTTTTCTGTCCTCCTGAATCTCAGCTCTCTGCACAATTCACCCCCTCATCCTTGGAACATTCTTTCCCGTGATTCCTATGACACCACGCCCTCCTGAGTTTCTACCAACTCTGCGGCAGGTCCTCTCAAGCCCCTCTTGTAAGCTCCTTCTTTTCTATGCACCTGTCCATGTAGGGACCCCATAAGGTACACCCTCACCTCTCTGCTTTTCTCCCACTATAGTTCCCCCTACAGCCTCTCGTCTACTCCATGGCTTTAATTCCTGTACGTATGCAAATGGCTCTAACCCAGTCCTTCCTTCTACTCCACCACTGTGTATCTAGCTGCCTGCCTGACCTCTCCAACTCCACGTGTCACAGGCATCTCAAATCCAACTTACCCAAACCCAGATTCCTGATCTCCCTTTCCAGTTCTGGCTCTCTTAATATTTCCAGCCTCAGTAAATTAGAGCACCACTTACCCATTTGCTCAAGCCGGAGGTCTGGCTTCCTCTTCCTTCCCCAGTCATCTTATCTGATCATCATTATTTTTCTATTGGTTGGCATCACAATTAGGTTAAAGTTCAAAATCCTCCACGTGGTCCCTGCCTGTGGATCTCTCCCCCACAAAGCTCCCCTTACATTCTGTCCTCCAGCCATTCTGACCTTCCGTGTCCCCAAGGGGGCCTGGCTCCTCCCGGCTCCAGGTTTGGGTTCATGCTGTCCCTTCTTTCTGACCCTCTTGCTTGGTTCATTTCTGCTCATCCTTCAGGTTTTGGCTCAACCATTTATGTGCTCTCAGAGCATCCCATACTTCTCCTTTATGGCCCCCGTCTTGGTTGTAATTTAAAAAGTATTCGTGCTGTTGTTTTGCTCAATGTCTGTCTCCTCTGCTTGACGTAACTCCACGTGGGCAGGGACGAGGACCCCGTACACTGCTGTGTCACACTTCCCACTCAAGTCCCGGAGAGGAAAGAGAAGATGCTTGTTGGCCTGCTTTGATAACATCCCCAGCAAGAAGATGCCCTGTCGCTCTTGTCATGTCCTTCCAGAGTGTTCCCTGCTTGTCATCAGCAATGATCTGTCATGTCTCAGCTAAATGTTCCTCATCCCACCTCCCTCTGCTCAGAACAGATAGGGGAGGGGCTGTTTTTTAGCTTTCCATTTCTCATTAGCCTCATTCCTAGAGCTTGTTTCTAGTCTTTTCATACATTCATTGTCCTTATTAAACCTTCTCTCAGACCAGGAGGAAACAAAATGTTCTTATGTCTGGGGGTCATGACCTGACAGTGACTGGCATTTGTGTTGTCACATCACCAAGTGACTCAGCTGTGTTGAGAATATTTTGAAATAGACTTTTTCTGATTATAGGAGTGAATTTATTGTTAAGGAAAACCTTGAGAGCACAACAGAGGGTCAAGAAGAGAAGAAACGACAGCCATCCTCTCAGTTTTTCTATCCTAAAATAGGGTCCTGATACATATGTGTGTATATATATGACTTGTGTCCTGCTTTTCCCGTTTAACCTTACATTGACATTGTGATATAAGCCCTGAAAAGTGGGGATAAAACCTGACGAAGCGCAGGTTTGGGCAAGCCTCAAGTTCACGTAGCCCTTGTTAGTGGTGTACAGCAGGACCTGTGTCTCTAGAAGCAGAGAAAGGGTCAGTACCAGGTGCCCTGAGTCCCTGACTCTGCAGGACTTTGTTTTTCCTCCCTGCTTCACAAGTGTCAGCCCCGCCCCGCCTCTTCCATGACCACCTGCCTTTCAGCCTCTCTAGCCACGTACACTGCATCTGCAGCTCTCTGTGGTGGTGTGTTCCTTAAGCCAGATTTCCTAGGTTTAGTTAAATTGAGCTTACATAGCTCCTGTTATACCAGGCTAACTGTCTACATATTTGTTGATGCTTGTTTTTGTTAGTTTTCATTTTACCTTTTAACATGGCAAGAGGCCTGTTTATTATTATTATTTTTTATAAATTTTTATTTTACTTTTGGCTGCGTTGGGTCTTCGTTGCTGCATGCGGGCTTTTCTCTGGTTGCCGCGAGCTTCGCTGTGGTGCGCGGGCTTCTCATTGTGGTGGCTTCTCTTGCTGCACAGCACGGGCTCTAGGCGTGCGGGCTTCAGTAGTTGTGGTACATGGGCTCAGTAGTTGTGGCTCATGGGCCCTCGAGCGCAGGCTCAGTAGTTGTGGCACACGAGCTTAGTTGCTCCGCGGCATGTGGGATCTTCCCAGACCCAGGCTCGAACCCATGTCTCCTGCATTGGCAGGCAGATTCTTAACCACTGCACCACCAGGGAAGCCCAGGCCTGCTTATTTTGCCTTGTACAGTGCCTGGTGTGGATTCTGAGAATTTGGTACCCAATCAATATTGTTACTGTTTTGTTTTTTTAATCTAAAAAAATGTTCTGCTCAGATCACTAGGAGGCAGTTAAAATAAAGAAGTGAAGGACAGTTTTATCTGTTCATGGAGCAAGCCTTATTTTTAAGTGTGCTTATTCTGGACCAGGCACTGTTGCTAGATGCTGGATATACATTAGTAAAAGAGTAGGCCTAGTTCCTGCGCTCACTGGTCTTACAGTCTAGGCGGATACTAGGTATTAACAAACACTTAAACAAATACACACTCTCAGCTTGTGATGCATGTTATGAGGGAAGATGGCAGGGCCCCAGGAGAGAATGTGATGGGGGAGTTTGATGGTACTTGGGCTGTCAGAGAAAGTCTATTTGAGAAAGTGCCCTTGAAGCTGAGACCTGCAGGGTGGAGAAAAATGGGCGGAGTGAGGGGACAGGGCTCTGGGAGAGGGGCCGCGGGTCCAAGGGTGAGCCGTTCAGAGGAGAGTGTGCTGAAGAGAAGAGGGAAAATGGAAATTGTTCATCTCTGTTTTCGTCACTAAACTGGAAAGTACTCACTGCTTATGTCGTGGGCTCTATTAATTCTTTCAAAAATTTTTTCAGGTGGTGCATTTAGCCCTCCTACCGACGGGGTTTCTCAGTTTGTTTTTTGAGCGGGTCTCCCTGAGCCTGCTGTCCATCCCATTTTCACTGACATTTTTACTCATGTTTCTGTCAGGCAGCTGGGAAAGGTCCCAGCAAGTCAGGCTTCTGACACCGTCTACTCGTTCAACAAATATGAACCAATGCTGACCCTGAGAGTGAGTGAGCTTGACTGACCGGGGAGCAGTCCTTTAAGGGAAAGAGACCCTGAGGGAGGGTTCGGAGGACCCTCAGCCACCAGCTGCCTCTGGGCATTTCTCCCTAGGAATAGAAGTCACCCACTTCGTGAGCCATTTGGTGACGAGGAAAGAGAACGGCAGCTGAAATTTCCTTTGAGCTGTTGGGGTTTATTTCAGAAACCCTTTTGTTCCAGCGTGTGTTCAGGAGTGCTGTGAGTCTCCTATGTGCCTGGTGCTGTCCCAGGGGCTGGAGGTGCAGCAGTGAGCAGTTTACCTGCTGGTAGGAGATAGGTCTTAAACATATAAGGAAAACACAGAGGATGTCAGCGGGGCTGTAGTCGCTACAGAGAGAACTAGAGGAGGGAAGAAGGTGATCGCGAGGGTCACTTAGGGGGTAGAAACAGGTGGTGCGATTGTTAGGAACAGTGCTCAGCAGAGGGCTCACTGAGTGACATGTGAGCAAAGACTTGGAGGTGGCGAGCTGCGTGTATATCTGGGAACAGCATTCCAGGTGGCAGGAACGGCAAGTGCTAAGGCCTGGGGGGATGTGCCCAGGATTTTGGAGGAATGGCAGAGGTCCCTGGGGGGTTTGATGAGCAGAGGCAGTGAGGGACAGAGTATGGAGGGCGGGGGTGGAGCACAGAGGAGAAGCCAGCACACTGGGGCCTCGTGGCCTCCGTGAGCACTTTGGCTTGCCCTCTGGGAGAAGGGAAGCAGTCGGAGGCTTTTGGGCAGGGTGTTGAGAGGTGACTGTAGGAGTGGGGTTGGATGGAGGCAGTGGCTGTAACTCAGGCAGGAGATGATGGTGGCTTGGACCCAGGTGGACGTGATGGAAAGAGGTCAGATTTTGGATATATATTGAGGGGCTGATGGATTGGATGTGGGGTGGGTGAGAAAGAGAACAAGGACTCCAGAATTCTTGGCCTGAGGTCCTGAAAGCACAGAGTGACCTCTTCCTGAGAGGGCTGGGAGAAGGACGGGCATTGGGCAGAAGGAAGGATTTAGGAGTACGTTGTGGACGTGTAAACTTTAGATCAACACTGGGCATCGGGTGGACATGTCAAGAATGTGACATGTGGTTTGTTAAGTCTGGAGTCAAGGAGAGGCCTGGGTGAGGAGTGCGGCTTTTTGAGCCATCAGGGTACATATGGTGTTTACATCCGTGAGCACGTGTGACAGGGCGTTGGGTGGGAACCCCGGTGCCAAGGGGCCAGGGAGGCAAGAGGAAGCAGAGAAGAAGTGGCCAGCAAGGTAACAGGAGCCAGGACTGACACGAGCTGTTCTCTGCATCCCTGGGCAGGTGTGACAACGTGCGCGTTTTTAAGCTGGGCCTCTTCTCGGGCCTCTGGTGGACCCTCGCCCTCTTCTGCTGGATCAGTGACCGGGCCTTCTGTGAGCTGCTGTCGTCCTTCCACTTTCCCTACCTGCACTGCGTGTGGTGAGCCCCGCTCGTGGTGGGGTGGGTGGTCACCAGGCAGGGTCTACCCTCGCTGTCACTCCGTTCTCCCTGCGCGGGGCGCAGATGTACACAGGGGACAGAGCTGAGCCTGGGTGCCTCCTCTCCTCAAGTAGACTGTCAGACATTTCAGAAGCGATAGAAAAAGCAGAAACAGCTCCAGGGAGCAGGCTTAACCGGAACAAACAGACCTAACTGTGCTTCATGTCTGTGGTCTCTCACCTCTAGTTCCATTATTAAAGCAGAAAGGAGCTCGGAACTTGAATCCGTAACCTGAGCTCTAGCTAGATCTCTAGGGTGGGGGAAGGTGGCGAAGGCTTGGGACAGATGTGATGTGGGGATAGGACGGTTCTGAATGGGGACCAAGCACGCCTTTTGAGCCTGAGTGACCAGCCTGGGCCTCACAGGTCACCTAGGGACAGTGTCTTTGGCTTTGTTCAGGATCACCCACCTGGTGGCAACAAACCAGTCTAGGAGCTCAGTAATGGGGAATTGGAGCATCTGCAGCTTAGAAGGCTCAGGATACACTTAAGAAAAAGAAAGCTACAAAACAGCACGCAGAATCCCGTACTCAGAAAGCCGAGGAGGAAATCCAGTGGTTTTCTTCCTGGGAATGATCAGATGCACAGATTTTAACTGTGTAGTCTGGTAAATTTTGATAAATGTATCCACCTGTGTAAATAGGCTCTCACTGAAGATATAGTACGTTTTTAATCGATCCAAGCTCCCTTATCATACAGTGATTTAAGTCAAATTCAAAAAGTCGACTGTAATAACTTGGATTCCAACTTAATTTGTTTCTAAATTTGGTGTACTTTCTGAGGTTGTTTTTTTTTTTTCCCCCAAAGTTGAACCATTTTCTGAGACTTCCCCTGTGGTCCTGTGGTTAAGACTCTGTGCGTCCACTGCAGGGGGCGCAGGTTTGATCCCTGGTCAGGGAACTAAGATCGCACATGCTGTGTGGTGTGGCCTCAAAATAAAAACAGAAACAAAGTTGAACCCTTTTTTCATCCAGTTGTAAAGTGACATATTTATTTATTATAACAAATTTAAACAATAGGTAAGTATAGAAAGAGAGACTTTCATAATTCTGTCCACCAAAGAGAGAGAACAGTTGTTAACAGCCTGAAGTGTATCCTTCCAGGTACTTTATATACATAGTTCTCTAATTCTCCTTTTAAAAGCAAAAATAACATCATTCTCTACATGATGCATATGGGTCCTTCTTTTGTTGTTTAAACTAAATATTAGATCATAGACCGCTTTCCTTACCAGTGCGTTTATATTATCTTCAGCAGTTTGTGTCCAGTTAATACCTCACAATATGGATGCTTTATAATTCATTTACCAACCTCTCTATTAATGGATACTTAGGTTATTTCTAACTTTCCGCTTTTACAAATAATTGGTAATGAACATCTGTATTTGTTCATATGCCTGAATTGTGTCCTTAGGTTAAATTATAATACGTTGCCAAATCCAGAGATATTATATCAACTAACACTTTTTACTAAAATCTGTAAGATAGTAAAAGTGTATCTGTAAGATACACTTTCACATATACTGGATATTAGTAACTTTAAAAAAAAGTCTTTGTTAACCTGAAAAGATTTTATTTTCATGTCTTTTTAAAAAATTAGTATTTTGTTGGGCATCTTTTCAAATGTAAAATTACTATATCTTTCCTCTTTTGAAACGTGCCTTTTAAGTTTCTTTATCATCCCTGTGGAGTGTTTCCATTTTTAAAAGTTTATATCCAGCACCTAGTGCCTGACACATAGGAGACAGTCATTACTGTTTACTACCTATAGGCCATTTATTGGGCACACTTGCAACATTTTCAAAAGTACAGGCCCCCAGGTAGGCAACACTTAGCTTCAGTAGTATCTACGTGAGGCCAATCTCATTCATGCCACCTTCACCCACTACCCACCCACACCCGGATTATTTAAAGCTAATCCCAGACACCCTATGAGATGATTAGTCTTTTCGTTCTTTGTAAGATAGGGATTTTAATTCTTTGTCACATGGTGCAAATATTTACCCCCAGTTTCCCATTTACCTTTCAGTATGTTAATGATATTTTGTGTCATACTGGCTTAAAATGTTCATGTTCTCACATCTGTCAGTCTTTTCCTTTAGGTTTTTTTTTTTCTCTCCCTCTGTATGCATTACAGTGTGACTGTGACATCCCTTAAATGACACTGTTCTCAACTAAGCAAACTGGTAGTACTCTTACAGCCATCTTTATTCCATGCGTTTTTAAATGTAGAGACGTGCATTACATGTGGCTCTCACAGCCATTCCCTTTAGGGTTTCTGAACTTTGTGTCATCCTAAGAAAGCCTTCCCCCACCAAAGTTTATAAAAATATTTTCTTTAATTATGTCTTTAAATGTATTTTAAGTCTTTAATTCATCTGGAGTTAAGTTTCAGTATAAGGTACAAAAGTAGGATTACATGCCTTTAAATGGTCCCTTGCATGATAAAGATCAATATGAAAACTTTTTACAGGCACAGTGAATTTAATAATAGTAATAAAAGAGTTCCCTTACTAAAGTGCAAAAGCAGATGAATCAGTATAAAATTATTCCTAATGAAGGGCGTCAGATATGTACAGCCGATTATTAAAGCTAGAAGGGTGAGGGGACTAGTTCCACATGCTCAGCGGTTATTTCCTTAGTGCCTCTGTTTTATTTATTTTGTTTTTTTAGTTTAATTCATTCATCAATTTATTTACATGTCAATCCCAACTCCCAGTCTATCCTTCCCCCACTTCTTCCTCCCTGGGAACCAAACGTTCCGTTCTCTAAGTCTGTGAGTCTGTTTCTGTTTTGTGAACAAGTTCTTTTTGTTTGTTTGTTTAAGATTCTGCATATAAGTGATATCACATTAGTGCCTCTGTTTTAAATCCTGGGGCCTTGGTCGGCTGAGCCCCAAAGGCATTTGCAGGTTTTTCCTGTTACCAAGCTGGAATGTTTTAGAACATTCCAAAAGAGGCTTTGTTGGCTCAGGAGTTACCATTCTGCTATTCCAGGGATTGTTGGGCAACCTCACCCCTTCTTACTTAAAGGAGGCCCCTGCCTGTCTTTGCATCCAGGAGAGGCAGGTTAGCCGGAGGGAGGAACGGGCCCAAGCACAGCCTTACTTGCGTCGGGTTTTCTCAGTTCTCACGCCGCCACGTCTCCATCGCAGGCATATCCTCATCTGCCTGGCCGCCTACCTGGGCTGCGTGTGCTTCGCCTACTTTGATGCTGCCTCCGAGATACCCGAGCAAGGTCCCGTCATCAAGTTTTGGCCCAGCGAGAGATGGGCCTTTATCGGTGTCCCCTACGTGTCCCTTCTGTGCGCCAACAAGAAATCACCCGTCAAGATCACGTGATGGCGAGGCAGTGGCTGGCCTCTCTGCTTATCTTCTCTCACGCACCTAAACTTCATCTGCCAGCAGAGACAGCCAGCGGGGTTCGCAGAGTCGGGGGGGGGGGGTCTGTCTTTTAAAAATTCAGTGCCCTTGGGTTCTAACTAGTGTGTCTGTGGACCGCCAGGACTCCACGGTGCCCGGGGAGCAGCGGGTGTCTTCCCCTTTCCCAAAGATGGGAAGTAGAGGGCCGAGGGGCACTAGGTGTGTCTTCTCAGTGTCACCTCCAGCTGCAGTGCTCATTGGGCTGCGTCCTTTATGGTGATGGCAGAGCCGTCCCGTGGGGGACCCAGCGCTGCACACGCCTCGCTTCCTGGTGAGAGTTTGCTCCAGATCCCACCGTTCCCATGTGCTCTCGGAGCGGACCCTCCCTTGACAGACAAATCCTGCGCCCGACAAGACCCTCTGACTGTATGACGGAAGAGGCCAGAGATTTTCATTTGGGGAAACTGTCCTGAAACGAAAGCAAACAAATGGAACACACACAGGGCTCGCGGCTAAGGAGGCTGGTTTCCCCCCTTGCATCTCTCCGTAACCCAGGGTTTACATACATGTGTGCATCCTTTTCCTGCTACCTCTTCTGAGAGATGGGAACTTGACTTCAGATCAGGGTGAAGCTAACAAGAAAAACCCTCCGCGTATGCCAAAAACGACACTCCACTTTGCGCCGTTCTTGAAGATAAGCACAAGTTTTAAATGCTGACACGGTCCCCGCCCCCCAGCCCAGTACCCTCCAACACACAAAGAGAAGACTAGCTATGAGCGTTCCATGCAGAGACCCACCCCTTTACTGCTTGACCTCTGTGACATTGCCAACGGCCTGTGACAATCGTGGTAGGGGTCCTGGTTCAAACTGGAGCAAACATGAAGTTTTAGAAGTTGTTCTCATTGGAAGCCTCCTGTATGCTGTCCTATTCCGGAAATTATCCTCAAGAATCTTGCCGCTTCTGTCTTTGATATTTACTGTGGGAATTACACTCCGTATCCTCACAGTATGAGGTGCTTCCTATGGTTTCTCCGCGCCGGCGTTTGACCACGTGCTTTTCTTAAGTGCTGGCCTTAACTACACACTGGCTGCTTTGGGTGCAGCAGGGCAAATCTCTTGCCTTCTGAGTTCTCACCTAAAGTGACACTGGCTGCAACTGCTGTCTTCTTCACTGGGCTGAATGGGAGACTCTGCATATGTCTTCAAGGTGCGAGGTGGGAATTCGTGACCTCAGGGATACTCATTCTAACTCAGGCATCTCTTGCTTTGCAACATTCCATCACGGGAGAGGGCAGAACAGATGTGTCCTTCTTGTGTGGATGGGAATCATGTCACTGTCCTAAGTATTTAAGAGTTGTGCAGTAGCAGTTTTTGGCTTGTCCGGGAACTCGTACTCTGGTTAAAATTTGCACAGAATTGCAGGCGAAAAGTCCAAGAAGCAACTGAATTTAGACTTTAGAAATGAGTGACTTTATTCTACTTCTGTGGTTTTCAAATTATTTTAGCAGCAGAACCCTGTTTGCAGTAAGAAATCTTTATGGAGACCTAATGTGTGAAATAATTTGTATTTTATTAGCTT